GTCTAAAATACATACAAGGAACGAGCTTGGGGGAGCTCAGGTCACTTGACCCCTGCTCAGCTGTGCCTTCCAGTGAGCTCACTGCATGCAGCAGCCCCGTCCCTCACTCATCAGCACCATGGCTCGCTAAGCATCCTGTGAAGATGCTGGTAGCCTGGAAGATACCCATCCACTGCCCCAGGAAGGCTCACGTCCCCCCAAAGCCTTGCCCAGTTCCCAAACTCTTCCTAGCACTCCACTCCTGAAGATGCCAGGGTTGCTCTTCCTCATGTGAGGTCTTCTGCAAGTGCCCTGGGCCCATCACCAACAAAGTTCACAGTGAGCCCCACCCTGAGTCCCAGGCCTCTCACCTGGCTCTTGAAGAAACTCTGGAGAAGAGCCTGCCTGGTGTTCCAAGTCCACTCCATGGCTGCTAAGGCCTGTAGCTACTGTTCCCCCACCTCACACTCCAGCCTACAGCTCCTGGGAAGGTCTGCTGGCCAGGATGCTTTTCTCAGTGTGCAGTCTTGGCCTCCTTCATCCTCCCTAGGGAAGCTAAAGGCAGTAGGAGAAAGGGGGTGCCAATCATCGTAGCCCGGCCCTAGGACAAAGTTCAAGCTTCTATCCTCCAAAGGCCTGCACCTCTCAGCTACCTTGGCACTCCACTGTGCATTCTGAATATGGGAATCGGCCCCTCACCCGGTGCCCATGGAGTGGCTAGCATGCCCAGAGTGTGTCATTAATAATTAATCACTGCCTCCAATCTAACAGGAGAAACTTCCCCAAGTTTGTTTTTTTAAAAAAAAAAAAAAAAAAAAAAGTTTTTGTGTTTGTAGGTGGACAGAATGCCTTTATTTTGTTTATTTTTATGTGGTGCTGAGGATCGAACCCAATGCCTCACGCATGCTTGGCAAGCGCTCTGCCACTGAGCTACAGCTCCAGCCCTCCCCAGGGTTTTCTAATCAACTTTTTAGATGTGTCAAAAGTGTTTATGACTCCAATCAGGATTTTCCATCTAAAACTTTAAGCTCAATCAGAATCTACTCTTCTCCTTTTTGGAATAAGGTCAGACTTCCTAAAACATTTGCTCGTTTACTGACAGAAGAGGATTTTATTTCACTTTTGCTGCCTCCTTGTCTGTCTCTAGCACCAGTTGATCAGAAAAGACTGTGGCAATCCAGTGTGACTCCTGAGCGCTAGAAGGGGGTCCAACAACAATGATCCTTCAGCCTCCCTGTAGCCCACTTTCCCCATCCATCTCATGCATGGGCCCCTCACCTGCCCCTCTTTTTTCTCCTCCCTTACTGCTGCTCATGTTTCTTTACACCTTACAAACCTCAAGTCCAAGAGCCTCTGGTTTCTCTCACAGAAGACCCAGTTCAACTGGGCCCTGAGTTTTAAGAGGTATAGGGAAGAGAAGCTCTCATTTTGTCCTAGGGAAAACTGCTCTTCACATGACTCAGTTCAATGACTCCCAATGGAGAAAAGACAAAAGAAGCTGTGTCTGATTTAACTAGAAATTACCAGAGACTGTAAAATTCAGTTCACAGAAGAGCAACAAAAATTATCAAGGGAACGATGCCAAGTTTTCTTCTGAGTCTGAGAAGGAAGACACTGGCAGATACTCCATTGCCTCCTTCAGCAAAGTCCTCTCACAGGAATAACCTACAGAATGACCCAGCTGGGTGCAGGTCTTGTCTTGGTGCTGCCACTTGCTGTGTATCTGTGGCTGATCCCAGTCAGATCTGCACCCGTAGGGACAGCCCCATCTCAGTACTTTGCTGGGATGATTAGAAAAGCTAATGCATGTGAAAGCACCTACTCACAAGGCCCAGAGCATGGCTCAGCTAAATAAATATTTGTTTCCTGTATTTTAATTAGCACATGACATGTTCTTTCATCTGCCAAGAATGTCATTTCATAGGCAGAGGCTCCTGAGGACCTGATGATCTAATCTGGTGATGAGGGCTCCTCCTTTGCTCAAAGCCAGAAGCTGCGCTGATGCTGCGCGTCTGTCTCCTGCTCCTCCCTGCTTCCGCCCACCAGTTTATCCTTCTTGGCCCTCTATGCACAGGTGGTTTTTACAAGTCTGACTTCAGTGAGACTGTGAGGACACAGTTTGCACTCCACTACTTTTTTTCTTGCTCTTCAACACCACATTCAAACCCCTGAATAATGGGGCAGGATGATTTCCTTCAGGGATGGCCCCCATTGGAGCATTGTGTATGGCCTCAGCTTATCTCATCTACCTAGTAAATGTGTAACATTCATAAGCAGTAAGAATCCCAACGTGTGTGGGGAGAATACTGAACTTGCAGGCAAAAGGCCTAAGTTCAAATTCTCGGTCAAATACTCAGTAGCTATGTGACCACTGGCAGTAATTTATTCCCATCAGTCCCAGCTTAGTCAGCAACAACACAGGCAAGAAGGCTACTGTCCGTCATGCAGGGCAAACTCTTGCCCACCTCTCAAAGGAGGTAGTAATCACTTTACCCTCAGGAAGAACAACAAGATGGAGCAAATAAAAAAACTGAATTTTGGGGCTGGGCATATAGCTCAGTGGCAGAGCCTAAATGCTGCAAAGACCCGGGTTCTCTCATTAGCACTGGGGAAAAAAAAATCTTTTTAGGACACCCTAGGAGATCTAGATGAGGATCAGTGCACAATAAACAATGGAATGTTAGGAAATGCCCTCTTCTCTGCCACTTCTTAGCCTTTAGTTGAATCGAATCTACTCCATCTTGTCTTCTCAAGGGGCCAGTCTCTCATCCCTAGGCCAGCCAGGAACTAGGAGGGGAGGGACCAGGGAAGACAGTGCAGGAGGCCTAGGCCAGATCAGCTCCTGTGCACAGGGAAGGACTCCACCTGTCAAACCCTGGTCTTCCTGTCACTGCTATACCTTGAGCCAAAGGGGCAGGTCCAGGAGAAAAAAGAATAAGTTGTAAAGCTCAAGACCCCCAGGTTAGCTAAGTATACAAGAAACCAGACAGACTGACTGGGCCTTGGAGAAGAGACAGAAATGGCAAGTGGGTATGTAGAAGGACTATCCTCAGTGACGCTGGGAGCAGGAATTCCCCATCACAGTAGTGCCTAGATTTAAAGTTAAGGATGTGACATGCTGGCTGTATTTTACGCATTTTTCTTAATTGTGGTCAGAAACATAAATTTACCATCTTAACTATTTTTAAATATAGTTTATCCTGTAAAAGTGAGAGTCTAACCCCCTTCAAGAACAGCCTCACTTTTCTCCCTCTTCCCAGCTCCTGGCAGCCCCCATTCTTCCTTATCTCTATAAATCTGACTACCCTAGGGACTTCAGAGTCTGGCTCTGAAGTAAGTTGTACCATCTAGTAAATGAACATGAGCATGAACAAGGGTGGTCACCATGCGGACCAGGCTCATTCAGGAGGCATGAGGTGCAAAAGCAGGCGACTTCCTCCAGCCAAGGAGTCATAGAAAGCAAAAATACTGACACTGAATGGGCCTTGGTGATCACAACTCAAGACTGGCATGCACAGATGTGTTGCCACCCTATTCTCCCGAAGGGGTTGGGGGAATGGTTACAACATATTGTACAGAACTTCAACATCCAGGCTTCGTGCATAGTACTGAACTAAAATTGCAAGACGTGAACACTTTACTAGTAATTAGCTGGGCCCATGAATCCAATTCCCAGTGCAGCACTCCTGTGCTAAGCAAATTCATGTGGAAAACCGTTTTTCCTATGTTAGATGCAACCTTGAGCTTGAGACCAATATATATAACTGGCACGAAGAGGAATTCATAAAATTCTAGACCTGAACCTTCAGTCTTAACACCTGGAATAAAGCCTAGGCCAAGAGTTCCCAAGTCAGGACAGGAAGAGCCAGAAAGTAAAAGAGACAGAGAACATTATGCCAGGCCACACTTGCTCCCATCTTCCAAACAAGGCATCACCTGAAAACCCATCCAGGACACCTGAACAGAGAGGGCAGACCAGACTTTCCCTTCAGGAGCAGACTATGCCTTACCACTCAGTCACACAAGCCAGGAGAGAGGGAAGACAACACACATCCATGTGGATTTAACCTTCCAACTTGGCACCGTTGGTCCCACTAAGACAGAGGCCACAGAAATGTCCTTTACCTCACTGAGTCAATTCTCACCGGTAGAGAGTGAAGTCAGGGAAGGGAGACATCAAGGGCCTAAGAAACCCACCTCTGGCAGTGGAAGAATAGAGGACAAACGGCATGCTCCCACCGAAGGCAGACGGTTTGGGAGAGACAGTTTTCCCTTTCTCAAGTTTTCTAGCTGGGCCTGGAAAGAGTATTCAACTATGCATTCTGCATCTCAGCAAGATCAGATGAACAAGCCTGTCCCACATTAGATACAAGTTGTCTTCTTGAGTCAAAGGGGATGAGGATCATTAAAAAAAGGATCGCAGATCCAGAAGCTCAAAAGAAAACAGGAAAAAAAGATACTTGTGCTGGGTACATGACAGTTCTCAGAATCGAGCTCATATAGGGGCTGATGTACCACCACATTCCCCAGGTGAGATGGTTTTCGGGAACCCATATTTAGAAAAGGCCACTGTTCAAGCTTTGGGAAAAACACCAGAAATTTATGGAGCAACAAACATCTTTTAAAAAACATTTTGCTATCTCAGTAAAGAGAGAAACAAGGAAATAGGAGATGGCATAAGATCTAGAAAGCAAGGAAAGCATCCAAGATAACAAAGGAAAATGGGGCAAAGCTTAGTAACTAATGGTTTGTGTGAAAAGAAGAAAATGAAGTTCTGGACAAAGAAGCAGGGCAACAGTGCTTCTGCCATCCTTGGAATGAAAGTCAAATGAAGGGAAGTTAAGGAAAAGCATGAGGTCTGGGAGTTTCCTCCTCCCTAACCTGAGAGCACTGCTAAAAATTAAGGAGATGGTGGGGAGGGCTAAGGAGAAAGAAAAAACCCAAGGACAATCAGCTTTAGTTCAAAACGTGTGAAGGGGATTCTCCATCTCAGACAAATGGTGAAATAAGGGGAAACTTACCACAGTGACAGGAATCAGAACCCTCAAGACATTCCAGAAGAGGAGGCAGAGGCAGGGCCCACAGTGGATGCAGGGTGCAAGAGCAGGCGACTTCCTCCAGCCTGAGGATCCTGCTGGATGGGAGAGATGCAGAGAAAAAAAGCAGGTGTACATTATGGAGAGTTTGGGATCCCAAGGTATTTTGAAGAACTGGCCATTACGAACAGTCTATTCACTCACAAGACAGGACAGAACCATTTACAATTGGGGTTTATATAAATGTATAGGATTCAAAGGATAGAAAACCAAAGAAGGGATGCAAACATCTGAGAAATCATGGAAAGGGAAATCCAGGCAGTCCGTGCAACTTTCAAAATATAGGAATCCTAGTATCACAATGAGCCTCCTGATGGGAATTTTATTCAAACCAAGATGTAGGTTGGTGGGTATTGGATGTCTGACTCCGACTGGCTTAGAGTCCCAGGGAGCAAAAAGTCAGCAGTGTTTTGTCACTGACTCTACAGGCAAGAGGAGCACTAAAGGAGACAAAAGAGACAGAATGGGTTCACAGGCAGGCCTGACCATCCTTGCTGTGTGACTTTCACCTAAAAGGTCAAAATGGAATTAACAGAGATCACAAAGGCATCAAATCTTTTAAGGTAGTTGAAGGATTAAATAAATGAATGCATCAGTACTTAAACAGTGCTACCAGCCCTGGGGTTGTGGCTCAGCAGTGGCGCGCTCACCTAGCATGTGCAAGGCCCTGGGTTCGATTCTCAGTATCACATAAAAATAAATAAATAAAGGTATTATGTCCAACTATACCTAAAAAATAAATATTAAAAAAAAAAAACACAGTGCTACCAAATTTTAAGGGCTCAACATAGATGAGCTATCATTATCATTGCTTTATTTCATCCACTACCTCCTTCTCTGCCACATTCTATGACTCAGAGTTGTTTGGGTACAGATTTCAAAGTCTATTTTTAAAGTTTGGTAACTCAATTCTTCCTTGGGAGGTACAATATATTAAGGGACCTAGGTATCAAAACTGCTGCCATGTTTACATTTGGATAGGACATTTACTTGTTTCCCTAAATGCTGTAAATCTGGGAATGGTGCTGAATCACTGTATGCTATATATATAGCTTCCTGGAACTTTGGAGGACAGTAATACATAAAAGATCTGAGTCACAAGTTCAAGACTAGCCCAGGGAACTTAATGAGACCCTGTTTCAAAATAAAAAGGGCCAGGGATGTAGCTCAGTGACAGAGCACTCCTATATTCAATTCCCAGTACCACTAAAAAGAATAATAATAACTCTCCAACTTGCTAAAGATTATCTGAAGTTGCTAAATCATTTGCAGCAGAAATCACTAATATGAGAGGGTTTCAGACTACACTGAGCAGCCCTGCACAGTTAGAGAGTAAAGAGAAAGAAAATGGAAGAGTGAAAATGCTTTAAACATATTTATGGATCAGTGTTTCTTTGTGGGAACAAAGGGTTATCTTAGAATAAAGCTATTAGTAGGATATATTTTAAAATGGCAAGAATACATGTGGAAGAATTTCAAATGGTTTTGATACTAGGCCAGGGTTTTTTCTCCTTACAGAGAATGCCAATTACGGTGCCTATGGGCATATAAACCCTACTAATGAGAACTGCCTCAGCTTTAAGGTAGACCTAGGCTAGCAGGGGCCATATGACAATTTATGAGACCAAGACTCAAGAGCTTAGCTAAGAACTACTATGTGCTCTGAACAATAATAAAAGCAAAACAAAATCAGACACTCTCTCTCTCTGAGGAATCTAAACAATCCTGAGAGAATGAGATGATCAGCTGTGAGATGAAGCTGAAAGGCTGTGATATACAAAAAGACTGAAGAGGTCACAAGAAATCACAGCACACCAAAGTCAAAAGGAAGGACAGCCCATCAGGAAAGAGAGGCTAAGGTAGAGAAAAATCATACAGAGTAGGAAAAAATGAGCCCAATGGTAGCAAGAGAAGCAAGACAAAGAAAAGAGATGCCACAGAGACCTACTGTCCCTGGAAGAGCCTGAGGCTGCCTCTGAACTGCCCTCTTTCCTGATGGCTTCCTAGTCCACATGCATCCTTACAACAAACCCCCCCCCCGGCTTTTTTAATTTTTTTTTTAGTTGTTGATGGACTTTTATCTATTTATTAATTTATATGTGGTGTTGAGAATCGAACCCAATGCCTCACCCAGGCTAGGCAAGTACTCTACCACTGAGCCACAACCTCAGCCCCAAATCCCTTTTTCTTAAAGCAATCTGAATGAATCCATTTCTTTCAACAACAACAAAGATTCTCTAACTACAACTGTTATTTCCACTCCCCCTTGGATGAAGGTTTCCCAGGAGACTCTCTGGCCCCACAAACAAGCAGGTTCCTAGCAAGTCCTCCCCTGCCAGACCAGCCTAGACATAGCCTAGGGTCTGCTTCCCAACAGGACAGGGATGTCTTATCCCCAGGCAATAGGCACAGTCCCCAGGGCCTATGAGCATCTCAAGACCTGATGCTGTAGACTTTAAAATGAAATTTACTGGACAGAAAATGCAAACAAAATTCGCAAAATCAAGAGTTAATAAATGTCAAATAAAGTTTAACTCATATAGTTCTACAGAAGCTAACTGTATAGGAAATGTGGGGGATTTTCTTAAGTTTAGTATGATATGGTAAAGGTCTTCATACCAGTCCCAGGGCAGGGGCCATATCTAGGCTAAGCTGGCCCTGTGTGAGAGCACACCTTACACAGCAGGCCTTACCCCTCAACACTGAGCAGGCTGGGCTGGGCATGGTGGTGCATGCCTGTACAGCTAGTTGAGAGACAGGGACAGGAAGATCACAAGTTGCAAGCCTGAGCAACTTAATGAGACCCTGCAACAAAATAAGAGGAGGAAGAGGGCCTGGAGATGTGACTCTGTGGTAACGTGTCCTGGGCTCAATCCCTAGAACCAGAAAACAAACAAACAAAACAAAACCTGAACAGGCTGACTTAGAAACCAACTCCCCAGTTTTTCAACCTGAAAAAAAACAGGAGGTAGCAGAAAAGTTACAAAACATAGATCTTATTCTCCGAGATAATGGTGTTAAAAACCAAAAGGCAATCATCTTCCTTTCTCTAGCCATGCAGACTATGCTAAGGATATGCACAGATTCACTCTCCAGTTGTCCTCCACAGCCAGCTCCTGACCCCGGTGGCTTCAGCTAGATGCTCAGCTTCTCCGTGAGCACAGTCTATGTGCCTCCCATGCGCCCTGTTGATGCACCCCACCAGTCACTTCTACTAAACTGCTCAACATGGCTTTCCCCTTGTCAAATCTCAAGGCCATTCCTCACATCCTTCTGACTCCCAGTTTATATGTCTGTGGCCCAATTCAACACATTCTCCCTTCTTCTCTGGCCTTGCTCAGTGCCTTTATCATTTCTTTTATTCCTACTCCTAAATACAGGTATCCTCTAAAGGCCAGTTATGAGTCCAGTTCTCAGCTCAACAAAGAAGATGCTAGCATGTGATGAGAAGATCACACCCTCACATGCCAGTCTTGCCTTCTCACCTGCACCTCTGTCTGCCATCAAAAACATTTCCCATTATACCACAGTGAATAGGAAATCCCTACTCCACCACTTGTAGAGCCCCTGGGGAAGCAATCTCTTCCCCCACCAAGTCTCCCAGGTGAGGAATGCCTCAGCCAACTCTCTCCTCCCCCACCCCACACCTTTCATCTTGTTTTGTCCCTTCAGCACAATGCAAAACACTACATAAAAATCACACTTGATCCTATGCCTTCTTTAGCTGCCATACTCTTCCTCCCCCACTGACCCCAACAGGCCTTTTAAAGACTGACTTTCCTAGTTTCTACTATTTCATTTCCTATTCACCACACCACTGACATTCCTCCCAGTACTGGCTTCCTCTTGACCCATCCAAGGGCACTTTCTGTTCTACATCTCACTGGATACTGCTGGCCACACTCTTTGCCTCCTTGTTCTACCCTCACTGCGTTCTCAGTCTGCCTGGCAAGCTCCTGGGCCCCAGCTCTTCTCTGCTTCCATCTCACATGCGAGTCTCAACTTTGGTTTTTACAAAAAACTTGAGTGTTCCCTGTGCCTCCAGAGGGCACTCCAACACTGGCTCAGAAACTAGCTCTGGGGGTTTACACTGAGGTCTTGGAACATGAAATGAATTTAACAATGGATCGCTACCTCTAACTAGCTGCCTTGCATCATGGAAATCTGTGCAACCTGGTCTGTGCAGGTTCTCTGTTCTGTAAATCTAAGCCTCATCGCAAGGTCCTAATCCTATCACAATGACACAGTAATAAGTAAATGAATCACAGTGAACTAAGTAATCTGACGTTTCCTGGCCAATGCTGAGTCCTCTGAAAAAGTGAAATATTCTTAACTCTAACAAGAGGAATCCTACATGAAAATTTCAAACTCTAAAATGATTCTGACAGCCCTAGGGCCATAAGGACATTTACTCTGCAGAAAAAAAGAGGGTTCCAATTCTTTTTATTAATTGTTTTACTATTAACTTAAAAGGCAGAACTATCATCTTTGAGACAGGCCTGCTTCCTCACAAACTCTTTCCTAATACCTTGGAACATGCTGCAAAATAAGATGTGGAAATAAGCCATGACTATTTTATGAACTTGCAGGGCTATGAAAAATAAATGAGCTCTAAAAGAGCTTTACTGAATGTCTATCAGGTGACACAGCAGACACTGCCGCATGCTCCAGAGTTAAAGGTACATTACTGCATTAGTTTTAGAAAGCAATACAAAACATGCCTTCTTAAAATTAAAGTATAAATGGAATGCTCCCATTATATTTCCAAAATTAAATTTCATTAAAAAAAAACAACAACTCAGTTTTCTGTACAATGAGCCTGCCATTGCCATCAGTTACCTGGTGACTCTCCTGCAAGGACCTGGTGTGGCACCACTTCAAACCTGGGCTAAATGATTTCAATCTGCCAAATCTCATTTCACTCCTGCTCCCTTTTTACATCTCTGGGCCACTTAAAACAATTGCTCCTGACCATCCTTGAAACTTCCTCCTAACTTCCAGGAGACCTCTTCAGCATCTTCCTGTCATTCCCTTCTGG